AATCAAACTGTGATGCTCAACCACTGAGCCACGCCGGCTGGGCATCCCCTGCCTTCTGAGAGCGGCAGGCCCTGTCTGTGCTGGGAAATGGGGGCGGGCGGGGCGGGGAGCAGTCCTGCAAAGCAGCTTAGACAATCCCCAAGCCTGGATTTCCCCGAGGCTGTGCGGCCCTGAGCCCTGAGCCCTGCGCCCTGACTTCAGGGGGGCTTGCCGCTGTCCTGGCTCCAGCCCATGGGTTAGACTCAGCCTCGTCCATGTGGGCCCTCTCAACCAGGGCCCTCGCCAGAGGGAGCCCCTCTGCCACCGGGGAGGTGTTCCTCAGGGCGCCCACCTAGCCAGAACGGGAGGGTCATTTGGGGGAGAGCGAGCAGAGTGCCTGGAGGAGGCAGCACTGCCTTGTCCCTGCCTGGTCCCCGCCCTGCCTGGCACCAATGTGGGTGAGAGGGCAGGAGGAGGCAGCCAAGGATTGACTGGGGTAGGGCTCTGCCAACTGAGAAGCAAGTGCTGGCTGAGATCCTCCCCAACATGATGTGCCCACAGGAGCCGCCGTGAACTTGACCCTTGTCACCCCCGAGAAGGCCATTAAGCTGGCAGCCAACGACTTCTTCCGACATCACCTCTCCAAGGACGGGTGAGGGGGGGCCGTGCCTCCAGGCCAAGGACAGACTTCCCTCCTGCTGCCCCTCACCTTGGCCGTGCAGGGCCTCCTCTTCCTCTTGTGTCCCGTCCTCCGCGTCCTTGCCCCCCCTCCGCCCCACCCTGCACTGGGAGGAGTGAGGCAGGCGCTGAGTCTGCTGCTCCAGCCCCCATGGTCCTTGGCCCTGGGCCACGGCCTGCTCCCCCATAGGCTGGGATTTGTAGGTGCTGACCAGCTTTCCTCTGTCTCCAGAGGGCGGGCTGAAAGGGTAACCCTTTGGGGCACTTGAGACCCCCCAGCTTCTCCATCTGTCTTTGCGTGAGAAGGGCCCTGCCTCCCTTCCCGGTTCCTGCCACGGGGCCATCTGTTTGCCGGGCTCGGTGCCCGCGCTGCAGGGCCTGGAGGGGTGTCTGAGGCTGAGGGGTGCTGTGCCCCCACAGGGCTGCGTCTGCCTCTACTGCTCCTGTCCCCCTTCGGGGGGGGGGACACTTGGCAGGGCAGAGGGCTCTGGGAGTGCCCGTTCTCATGACCTCTGGACCTGCCAGGTGAGCAGCCCGTGGCCCCTGAGACCCAGCCACTCCCTCCCCGGCCTTTGGTGCCAGGAGCGTCTCCCTGTGCCCAGGGTAGGTGTCCCTGACATGCACCTTCCCCAGTGGACACACGGGTCCCACAGTCCCATCTCCACCCCACGGCTCCGATCCCCAGCAGAGGCCCACGGGGCCTGAGCACAGAGCCCCATCCTCAGCCCGCAGGCTGCAGGCAGGAACCCACGGGGCAGCCGGGGCACAGTGGCCAGGGGCTGGCATCCCGTGCGCCCGTGGCCTGGCTTGACCTGCTCAAGTCAGACCCACCGCCCTGTGGGCTGAGGCTGCCCGGAGGCCGGCCTCCAGGAGCTGTCACACCGGCGCAGGGCGGCCGCCTGGGCAGCGGGGCCTCCGACTCTGTCCGTGACCCCCCTCCCCTCCCCCTGCAGGCAGAAGCTGACCCTGCTCCGGGAGATGCTGGCCGGCTGTGGGGCCGGCACCTGCCAGGTCATCGTGACCACCCCCATGGAGATGCTCAAGATCCAGCTCCAGGACGCCGGC